ACATAACTATTATGCATTGGTTATAACCAAACTTATTATATTGGTTATTATTACACCTACCTACAGTCTTCAACTGATTCATTAATGTGGTATCTGTAACCATGATCATTAACCATCCATATAGTGCCATTGCTGTCTTGAATGAGTCCACCATGTATCCGAAAATTTGTAATACTGATCTCCTCTATTATTGGTTTGGTGACGTCAATAACTATGCCATCTGAACATACAGGCAATGAAGGATCTAAGGCGTGGTTATAAGCTATAACTGTGCAATAGTATTTACCAGGTCCAGGTGCTGTCCAACTTGCACGTGTTGCTGTGATATTTACATACTGTGGAAGTACACTCATTATAATTATAAGATGCGTTATTTCCTTCCCAATACAAATTATGGCATTCTATTTTTTCAGATGAAATCCAGATTGATTTACGTCAAGACATGTAAGTATTTACACTTATTCTTTCCAATAACTACAATCACAAAAGATGTTACGAAAATGATAGAATATTATGCATCTAAATGTATATCTGATTCCACCAGTGCTGTTCATGCGGAATAAACAATACGTGTTTATTATCAGGTATAATACAAACCTCATACTTAGTAGGCAGTGTTGTTTTATCATCTGCACACATGTCAGCAAATACATACATATACGTCATGACACCACTCTCTTTATCAAAGAATCCATTCCACCATGCATTGATGTTGAAATCGTGCTGATAATCAATGTCGTTGTTGCCATGACCTTCGTGAACTGTTCCTGCTGTAGGTGGACTTGTGTCGATAGTTATCTGAAATTACAAAATGTATTGGCTACTTTACTTTCTGTTTTAGATTAATAGAATATATTAAAATCAAGAGACAGCAACCACGTGACGCATTGCTTTATACAATATTTGCCAATGTAAATATATAAGATTTTTTATAGATAACAGCTAATTTTACAATGTACCTGGAAGTGATGTGTTGTCATCAGAAACGCATTATTTCTGACATTAATAGTAATTACGTAATCGTAATCATGTGTACCAGACGTATTGTTGAAATCATTTTTATCCATTAGTATGGCATAGTCAGTACCATAACACTCGCCCTTTGGAATACATATACAAGATTTAGACTCACACGTGCCATCCTGTAAAAACGATGTTACATACAAGTATAGTTAGTAGTTTGCTAAAGAACCTTAGTCTATATATAACCCAAATGTTATTCACAGTATTCACATACACATTCCAATTTTGATGGTAAACAACAGAGTTTGTGAGGTATATACCTGTTTCTGGACAGCCACTGTGCCACTGGCAATTGTCTTTGATATGTCTGCCATATCCCTCAATTCCCATTTAATATCAAACAGACCACTATGTTGGTCATAGGTTCGAAACGTTACACTGAATGACAAAGAGTATAAGCAGTTCAAATTAAGTACCTAATAACTACACAATAACAATATGTCAGAGACTATTGTAATGATTATACAATTAAGACAAATCACATATAGAAGAAATTAATTATTGTTCTATTTGTAACTTTCAAAATAGCTGCATATTTCGAGCAATGACACTTCTTCAATATCATCTGAAAGGCTTACTTCATATCATATAGATCTATTGAGTCGTGCACTGGAAGTTGGTGTACTCCATCTTTCGTTAGTCCTAAATCAAATATATTAGGCGGAGAGGAATCTACATGAATTAATACTTCATCCACAGCAGAGTTACCAATGATGTCATAAGATTGGATCCATACACGAACGGAATCTCCATCTACCCTTTCAATATCGAAATATTGTTCTTCGATCTGTCATGACAAACGACAATAATTCAACAAATTAAATTGATATTTGAGTTTGCATTTCATAAGTCAGTAAAATTAAGGTGGTTCTCGCGTACGTACTGGAAAATTTGGGACATCCGACCACAGATCGGGAGGTTCAATAATACTCTCCCCTCCTTGATGATCAAGTGCGTAAACTGTCTCAGTTGTGACAATGCCATTCACCCCAGGTATAGCTTCACGTGATCTGATCGTCGGCGGTTGTCCAGTCTTTTCTTCGTAGGGTTCGGGTATGTCCGGAACGTGTGCTGCTATGGAGCCCAAAAAACTGTTTACATCGTGATGAGTATTGCGGAAGTGATCATTCCATACAATATGAACCTGAAAAATAAAATGTAAGAGTTTCAATTTGAGTGGGGCTATTGATCGTATGTCATGCTCTGACTAACGCGTTATTAACTTTGTAGTTCAGTGTAGAGATACGCTTCCTCATTATATCGTGTATAGAGTAAAACTAAAAAGGAAAATGGTTAACCAATTGATATTGTACCTGTTTTCCATTGTGGTGTTTATCCTGAAGATCAGTTTGCCATATGTCATTGTTACTTGGATTTGTTATAGCGGACTCAACTACGATAGGTGATTCTTTATTGTGAATGGTAACGACATTTTCATTGTCAAATGTTAAAAATCGTCGTGCAATGCAATAGCTTCCCGCCACGTCATCCACCGTTAAGAAGACACAGTATACTCCTAGATATATACATATAAAGTTTATTTATACCAATCTGAGCAAACCATTTCAACAGCATGTGATGACACTTCTCAAAACACTTAACATGTGTAATATGCCATATTTTATTGTCATAACCATATGTGCGCTGTTTTTGTTGGGTCTTTTGACTTCTTGTAATTTCGATTTATGAATTGTTAAGTAAACAGATATATATTTCTATATCCGGAATAGCACTTTACGAATACAATGGTTAAATTTTATATCTTCATGAAATGAAATCGGCGTTTAATTTACTAAATACAGGAACTGTTATATGTAAAATAAAATTGGAAATAGCACATGTGTTTATAAATAACTACCTGCATTTGGTAATGATACATTACATCCGACTGAATGTGCGTCATAGTGACCTTCATCCAAGGCGGTATAATCGTAGTCGAGCTCAGTAGAGTTTGTCGCAACAAGAAGATATATCTGCCAGTGAAAGCCATTCAAACCTGATACATCGTCTATCCAACCCGACCACGTTACACTGAGATTTCCCTATGTAAAACAATGCACGCGATTGTCAATTAAAACGTGTCATAATTTAATTTATCATAATTTTTGTTGCCATGAATTGGTAATACTGTA